CGCTGCTCCCCCCCCCTTTGCCGGCCCAGGTGTTGGCACAGGCAGGCCGTCAACCGAATCACAAAACTAATCTTGGTTTTAAAATAAAGTTGTGGTGGTTTTTTGTTTTGTTTTTTTTGTTTGTTTGGGGGTTTTTTGGTTTTAGCTTGAGTCAGCTTCCTGAGCTGATTCATGTACAGGCAGCAGAAGCGTTTGTGTGGGCAATAGAGGTTGGTGCAGAGGAGGAACTAGTGGCTGGAGCTGCTGCTTGTGGTAAAAGTGCCGGCTGAAAGTTTTAATAAACCAGCTTACTAATTAGAACATCTGTAATAACTCATGAGTTATAGTTTGGCCATTCTTATCTTGATAGAGCATTTAATGTTGAGGTATTTCAGGTGTCTTTTGGTGGAGGCATTTCTCCTTCTGCCTTAGAAACTGTGCGTGTACTACAGGCTAGATAACCTTCAGTGAGAACTTCACCTTTCTAGAAACAGATTGCTTCTTGAATAGCAGTATTCGGAAAAATTAATCTGGGTCACTGTTGCTTGATTGACTTAAGGAGTCGGTTGCTAAAAGAGCAGGCTTTTAAGAAACTGACAACTACATGACTTCAATTATTTAATTTTCTCAGTGTATTCCCTTCATCAGAACTACATTTACATTCTGTCACATACTAGATGACCTTGTTGTGTACAGGCGTTCTTGAGTTGAGCAGATGTGACAAAAGGTGTTTGCCCTTCCCCTAACCAACCTTTAGAATCACAATGACAAAGGCTTAAATACGAGGGAAGACAAATTTGTAAACATGTTGGAGGATAGTTCTGTCTCTTAACTGTGACAAATAGGGTGAGGAAAAATGGAATATTCCAAAGAAACTCTTAACTGGATACTAGTTTAAGAGGTCTGAAAAGTATCTTGCCAAATCGCTTTTATCTACAGAAGAAGCACCTCTAGCATGTAGGACTCTGCTAGTCTGAGTTTAAGTGAATATGGTATCTGAGTCAGTGTCAGCAATTGTTTGTAGTTCAGTTCTGTTAGATAACCTTTCCCATCTTCTGGTGAGAAGTTTGAGCTTTCCCTCCAGCTCCTCGCTAGTATTTTTACCTTGCACTTCTTTACTTAAACATCTCCACGCTGCTTAACTAGTTCTCTGTCTTAGAGGTTCAGGTCATAGAATGGTTTGGTTGAAAGGGACCTTGAAGACCAACTAGTCCCAACCCCCCTGCCATGGGCAGGGACACCTTCCACTAGCCCAGGTTGCCCAAAGCCTCATTCAACCTGGCCTTGAACCCTTTCAGGGAGGGGGCAGCCACAGCTTCTCTGGGCAACCTGTGCCAGGGCCTCACCACCCTCACAGGGAAGGATTTCTTCCTTTTATCTAATCCAAATCCGCCTGCTTTCAGTTTAAAACCATTACCCCTTGTCCTGTCCCTACGCTCTCCAGTCAAGAGTCCTTCCCCACCTTTCCTGTAGCCCCTTTCATTACTGGCAGGCCGCTCTAAGGTCTCCCTGGAGCCTTCTCTTCCCCAGGCTGAACACCTCCAACTCTCAGCCTGTCCTCACAAGGGAGGTGCTCCAGCCCCCCGATCTTATACGTGGCCTCCTCTGGACCTGCTTCAGCAGGTTTGTGTCCTTCTGATGTTGGTGCCCCCAGAGCTGGACACAGCACTGCAGGGTGGGGGGTCTCACGAGAACAGAGTAGAGGGGGAGAATCCCCTCCCTTGAGGGGACACACTTCTCTTGATGCAGCCCGGGACACGGTTGGCTTTCTGGGCTGTGAGCGCACACTGCTGGCTCACAGTCAGTTTTCCATTTGCTAATGCCCCCAAGTCCTTCTCAGGGCTGCTCTCAATCCAGTCCTCGCCCAGCCTATATTTGTGCTTGGGATTGCCCTGACCCGTGGGCAGGACCTTGCACTTGGTCTTGTTGAACTCCATAATGTTTGCATGGGCCCACCTGTCCAGGTCCCTCCGGATGGCACATCCCTTCCCTTCAGCCTGCAGACCGCCACCTTCAGCCTGTGGACCGCACCACACAGCTCAGTGTCATCGCCAAACTTGCAGAGTGCACTTGATCCCACTGTTGGTGTCACCAACAAAGATGTTAAACAGTGCCAGTTCCGATCCCTGAGGAACATCACTCATCACTGCTCTCCAGTGGGACATCGAGCTGTTGACCACAACTCTTTGAGAGTGACCATCCAGCTGATTTCTTATTCACCAAGGGGTCCATCCATCAAGTCCATGTCTCCAATTTAGAGACAAGGATGTTGTGTGGGACGGTGTCAAATGCTTTGTACAAGTCCAGGTAGATGACGTCAGTCACTCTTTCCTTATGCACCAGCACTGTAACCCTGTCACAGGGCCACCAAATTCTTCAGGCATGATTTGCCCTTTGTGAAGCCATGTTGGCTGTCACCAATCGCCTCCGTATTTTCCATGTGCCCTAGCAGAGTTTCCAGGAGGATCCACTCCATGATCTTACTGGGCACAGAGGCGAGACTGACTAGCCTGTAGTTCCCTGGGTCTTCCTTTTTTTCCTTTTTTAAAAATGGGGGTTATGTTTCCCCTTTTCTAAATGCTGTTAGGATTTTACTTTCACTTCTCTTGTTTCCATTCTCCTTGTCTACACGGATCACTGGGAATTTGCTTTTGCTTCCAGTATACCAACCTGGGGTTTGATCCTGCTTTTTTTTTTTTTTCTTTTTTTAATGTTTGATCTCATTCTAGACCTGCTGCAGCACTAGACTTAGCTTCCCCTGTATTATTTGGTCAGTTATTTTTGTATACAGATCTTGACTCAAGTCACTGCCCTGCCTGGGCTTATTACTATGGGCTGAAAGTAAAAATCAGGGGGTTCATTCATTCTGTCTTCACCTCTCCTTCTTGCATCTAAATTTGTTCATTTAAGCTAAGTAACTGTTAGCATTTTACTTTTCACTAGTGCTACTGAGAGCTTTGTAGCTCTCCCTCCTAGGTAAAAAAAGCCTTACGAGTTGGGAAAGCTTTCTCTTGTCATGTTTTGTGCACCAAACTCTTCTAAATCCTGTTTACAATGCCAAGCAAAATTTAGTCATCCAGTTGTAGTAAAAACGTTTGTCACTTCTTACCATTAAGAGTGATATACAGAAAAAGTAGTGTATGCAAAGATTGAGTGGCTATGGGGTTTTATCCCTTTTTATGTAAGCCTCCTTTTACTATCCCAGTTTTAGTTCCATCATCTTTCCTGCAGGTGGATGGATTTAAAAAATAATTTTACAGTCTAATCTGTTGGGGGGGAGGGGAGACGACCCAAAGCAAACAAACCCCAGACTGAAACCACAAACCCCGTGTATCTAGGGATTAGGTGTTGGACATCCCGCTGTTAGTTATAAAACTAAACAGCTACAGCGGAGTGAAATGGGTCAGACTGGGTGCAGGGCTAAGGGTCAAGACCCCGAAAACGGGTGTCACCCCCCCGCCCTGGGCCGCTGCGGCCGCGCCGGGGGTGGCTCCCGCTTCCTCCTCCTCCTCCTCCAGGACTACCGCTCCCAGAAGCGCCCGGGCTGAAAGTGAAAATAAACGCCAGGTTACGCTGCTGCCTTCTTTTTTTTTTTTTTTTCGTTTCTTGTTTTCCGCTCGGGTGCCCGGCGGCGGTCGCACATGTCCTTTCCCTTTTGTTTTCCGCCCCGCAGGCCGGCGGAAGCCGCCGGGAATCGCCGCCCCGAGGGAGAAGCGGGGCTCGGAGCGCCGCTGCCCGGGAGCTGCTGCCCGGCCCTTTCCGGACGCCTGAGCACCGCGGCGTTTAGAGAGCTGGAAGTCCAGACCGAGGAGTAAAACTTGACGGTTTTCTCCCCGCGATTTCCCACATGCGAGTTGCTAACGAGCGACCGGCTGCTTTTCCTCCTCCTCCTCCTGCTGCTGCT